CTCTAGGGCCTGTGCCAAACTCCAACTTCTCCAAGTTACCCTTCACTCCAGGGAGCCGTCTCTCCATCTCCCCCACCTTCGCCCCCTGCCTTGTCTCCCCTCCCCCCCCATCCTCTCCTCCCCTCCCTTTGCAAGACCTCCCACTCCTGCACTACAGGGTTCTGGAGCAGACAGGGGTCAGAATATTCAGGGGGTTGGGCCTGGCACTCCCCTCCACACTGTCTTACACTTCTGTTTTGGTCAGGCTGTCTCAGCACCCAGTTCAGGGCAGAACCAGGTCTAAGGTCCAGGAGGACATCTGGCCATCCAGCTGACAAGGCAGTCCCATGGCTGCAGTGGATGTCGAACCTTCCCAATGCCTCCAGCCCCCAGCCCTTCTGAGCCCCCACGCTCACTTGACAGGATGGCAAGGGAAGCAGGAAGTCAACACAGCTCTGGGGAGCTGGCTGGGGTAGCTGAGACCCTGCCCTGGGGCTTCACGCCCCACCCCCATGTGGCTCAGAATCAAGAGATTCCCAGGACTCACCCCATCTCTGGGCTGCGGCAGGGAAGCCAACGTCTGCTCCTAGAAGTGGGCACACGCCCCTCTCCAGCTTGGGACTGTCCGGTGAGCACCTCCTTGGTCAGGACGGTTCAGCTCCCGCCTCCCTTTGCCCTCCTCCACCCAATGAGCTCATCTGTCTGGGGCTCCCCACCCCCTTTGCCCGAAGGGATGTTTGGATAGAACCTGGAAGAAAACAGAAGAGGAGGATGGGTGTGATGGAGGAGGTGGCTGCCTACCTGCCGGTGCCCAGAGCCCTTAGAAAGCGGAGGGTTCGGGAAGAGCTTATCTATACTCCAACTCCACCATGCGAGGTGGGCTGGGGAGCCCTGGCTAGGTGGCCAGTACCGGTCCGCGTCTCGGACTGCTAGACCACGTGCCTGCGGGGCTGGTTTGGTGCATGCTGTCTTGTTAACCCCCTCGGCACCGCCAAACTTCAGTGGATGCCCAGACCTTAGCTGGGGGCGGTGCGGGCACTCCGAGCTGGAGGGATGGAGTGGTGAGGAGGGACGTGGGGGGGACAGATGCAGGTGCACTAGAAAGGAGGCTCGCAAAAGTTTGTCCAGGTAGCAGCCACCCAAGCCCAACCTGAGAGGCAGAAGTGTTTGACGGCATTTAACTTTAAATTAATGCAGGCATGCAGGCAGAGAATCTCGCCTGCATTTCCACGGTCCTGAGGCTGGGGCTCTGTTTATAGCCAGAGGGAGGGCAGCTGAGGGAAGGTAGTGGAAGCAGATCCTGGTGTAGATCAGAGGCTGGTGGATAGGAGCTGTGGGGTGAGGTGTGCGGGGGCTCCCCGCAGAACCCCGTGTTCTCTGCCTTTTCCTGCTGAGTTTGCGCCACCGCCAGTGAGCTGTTACCTGCAAGGCCTGGACAGGGACAGGGACAGGCACAGGGACAGGAGCTGTGTGTGTGGGGGGGGGGGGGGGGGGGCTTGTGGGAGAGGAGGGGTAGAGGGGTGGCCGGCTAGGGCCTGCGGGAGCCAGAGGCAGGAGGCTCCCTGCCAGGCTCCTGTTACTTAGGAGGAACTCCTCTTTAAATAGCTCCGGAGATCTCTGGAGGTCGTAGGAGCATTCCCTCACCCTCCCCGCTGCCTGGGGTCTTGGTGGCCGCCTTTCTGAGAACTAATAGGGCATGGAGCCTTCTGTCTACCTGCTTTGGTAGAAGGTGGGACCGCCCAAGGCAGGCGGGCGCTGAGTGACTTCCTTTGGGAGAGCATTTCCAGGTCAGTCGCCCGGACCTTGAGCTCTGCCCCCAGGGGCTCCCCCTCTCCCCAGCTATACCCCGACCCTCCACGCACTTTCCCTCCTGGCTCCAGTCCAGCTTCCTGGAGGGCAGGAATGACAGGTTGCCTGCCCTCAGAGAGGACTCTTGGACTGTTTCAAAGAATATATGTGGCCCCCCCTTTCTCCTTCCCCTTCAATCTGGACCCTATTTCCCCACCCCCTCCCTCTCCGCCCAGATGACAGCTCCCTGACAGCTTCTTGGCAAGGGGCCTCCTCCCCATCCGCATCCCTGAAAACTTGTTCTTCCCCATATTTCTGAGCCAGGCTGCCCAAGACGTGAGTGTGCATTCCCTGTCACCAAGGACCAAGTCTGTCAGGGTGCCACTGTATCCCAGCCACCATCCCCGCCCTCAGGGGACTTCCTGCGGAAGGAGGGGAAAGAACAAAAGTGCCAGGTGCTGCAGTGCATAGTCGCACCCCCACCCGGAGACAGAAGGTCTTGAGCTGGGTGGAGGGGGCTAAATCAGGGAGGTTCCTCAAAGAGATGGTTCTTGAAGGGTCGGAGAGGAGGAGCTCTGACCTTCTGTCACCCTGTCCTCGAGCACCCTCAGGAGAGTCCTCCAAGCTGGATCAGTGGGCTAGGGTTTTGAGAATTTTTGAGGCAAGTGCTCTAAAATGTGGAAATCTTCTAGCCACTAATGCATTCCTCAAGCACTTTTTCTGTCCGGGGTGTGGAACCCTCCTGATGTTCTTTAGAGGAAAGCCGAGGGTGGAGGGAGGGAATCACATAGTGGGGGAGGTTCTAATCCTGGCTTTGAGAAACACATTCTCTGTGACCTTGGGCTATGCATTCTACCTCTCTGGGCCCAGTTCTTCAGCTGTGAAATGGCTTGTGTCTCCTGAGGATCCTTCAGACTCTCAGCAGGACTCTCAGCAGGGTCGTAGGGAGGCAGTGGGGAGGGTGGAGGGCACTGGGGACACGGCCCCTTTTCCTGCAGCCAGGATCTAAAGATAGCCAGAGAGCTCTGTCCCTTCCCCTCCCCTTCTCTGGGCAGGGGTCACTTGCCTTCCCTTTGGCTCACCTCCTCTCTCACCTTAGCCTCCTGTTCTGAGAAACTTGAGCTCTGCTGTAAAAATAAAGCGGGCAGGCCAGGATGCCTGGACGTGTGGATCTAGTGTCCAGGACCTCCTGGGGGAAGGAGAGGGCGGGCCTGGAGATGGGAAGAGACTAAGCATTTTGCGGGGGGTGCACAGACCTCTTTGAGAATAACAAGAACTAAAATGGACCGCATGTTTACCCTCTGTCTACCACTCTGCTAAACATTTTTATATGCAATGATATCTCATTCGGTCCTCATAGCTAGGGCCACCCCCAGTGCTTGTAAGGCCTGGAGTAAGTGTACAAACGGAAATTACATATGTGCCTAACTATGAGTTCTAAATTGGGATAACAAAGGGTTAAAATGTATCTATTGTCCTCTGACTTGATTACTTTTCCTTGACCTTAATTTGAAGACCTAGTCCAAAAGGCCTTCTCTGGTCCACTCTCATGGGTGCCTGAGAACATTTTACCTGATATCAAGTTCTAGACACGCCCCAGCCCCCTGCAAACAGCTGTACCTTGCCCACCACCTGGGTGCACCGTCAGGCAGGGCTGGCTCCTGGGAGAAGGGGCCTGGGGAAGAGGCTGGCTCAGGATTGAGTCATCGGAGCAGGGAATTCCAGAGGCCCTGATCTTCAGAGCCTGGTCTAGAAGAGGGAGGTGCATGGACCACCCTCCCTTTCTGCCCCATGGGACCCCCTTGCCCAGGGGGGAGATGATAGCCAGAAGAGGGCCAGAGCAAGGCCCTGGGGGCTCAGGAGTCCAGGGCCCCCGAGGCCCCTCCCTGTTGTCCAGCCTAAGTGTGGCATTGTTCTTAACAATCTCAGGAGGTAAATATCATTCCCTTCACCAGAGTACAGATGAGGTTTCTGCAGAAGATTGCATAACTTGCTCAAGGTCGGACGGCAGTAGACGCTGGAGCTGGGATTGGACTCCCCAGCGCCTAACCCCAGAGCTCCTGCAATACTGTCACAGCTCACGGAGGAAAGGCAGCAGGCCTCTCTTCTGGAAAAACAGGCATTCAGCATTTCTCAGCCAACCTGGGGGTGGGGGGTCCATGATCTCCTTGAAGCCCACTAGGGGCCCCAGCTTAAGAAGGTGGGGTGCTGGTGAGGCAACGGTGGGGCTGTGGCAGGGGTCAGGGCGTGGAGTGGGAGCAGGTTTTCGAGTTTGAATCAGCCTCCAGATGTACAAGGAGTGGAGGACCAGGGAAGGAGATGGGATCTGTGAGTGACAGAGGGGTCTGGATGGTTGGCAAGGGACTGCTGAAGAGGACAGCGAGGATAGCAGACACTGGCTACCAGACCACCCCAAATAGCATTTCTCACTCTTCCCTCAGAGGTTAGATAAGGCTTGCTGGTTAGAGGTCTCACTGCGTCCCTGCTACCTGGCTGTAACCGCAAGCAGGGAGGCTTGCCCTGGGCTCCTTCACCCCCAGACCCCAAAAGGGAGGCCCAGGGAACCTCCTGGAGGAGGGGGCAAAGGCAGAGTCTGAAGGGACAGCCTAGGTGGGAGAAATGAGAAGTAGGGGTGTGGCGGGAGGGTGTCGCTGGACGCAGATAGGGAGTGTTTGGCCTGGTTGCCTAGCTGGGAGCATCACGATTTCTCAGGAGTCCACGAAGAAATGGGAGAGGTTGGTGGGCGGTGGGCGGGGGCAGTTTGCAACTGGAAGCTTAGTTCCCAGAGCCCCAAGCCGCGGGGGCGAAGGCGGATGGGCCAGCCCACACCTGCTCACCCGCTGCGGCGGGGCGACCCGCGGACGTTCCAGTGGTCCCTCTGCGGCCCCGGGAGAGGGAGTGGCTATCCTACTCGTGGTCCCCAAAGCAGAACCAGCACATTCTTCCAACACCAAGAGCTCCCTATCTACTCCCCCCAAAACTATCCTCCTAATTGGCAGCTCAGTGCCGGGGACGATGCGGGCGGCTGCGGGTGGCTCTGCAGTGCCAAGCCGCAGCCGCCCAGCCCGAGATGGAGAAGGGAGGGAGTGGGGTGCCCGGCCTGCTCCCGGGGCTCCCGGGTGGCGAGGCAGGGCGCGCCGGGCTGGGTGCGCAACGGGCGGGGGCGCCCCGGGCTCCGCGGCAGCCACCGCCCCTCCTGCGGCTGGAGCGCTTCCAGAGCAGAGGCGCAGCGCCGCTCTCCTCTGCGCCCGCTCAGCGGTCCTCGAGCTCGTCGCCGTCCTCCTCCCCTTGCTCCTCCTTCTCCTGCCGCTGCCCTCAGCAGCAGCTCCGGGAGCCGGCTCCTCCTCTCCCTCCCTCCCCCAGCTCTTGCGCCCTCTCCGCTAACTTTCCCGAGCCCGGGCGGGCGGCGCAGAGCTGCGGGCGGCTTCGCGGCCCACTGCAGACCGCGGGCTGCGAGCCGCTGTGCCCTGTATCTCGTCCCCGCGCCCCTGGCGCGCTCCGGAGACCACACGAAGATGCCCGGGGCCGGGGACAGAGGCGCAGCCTGGGCGAGATGGCTGGGCACTGGGCTTTTGGGTAAGGCAGCCCCGGCTTGATCCCTTCTCTTTCTCCACCCTCTTCTCCCCGGGGAGGAGACACTTGGAAGAGAAGTGCCTCGGACCCGGGTGGGCTTTGGAGCGTGGCGTGGTACGGGATAAGCCCCGCTGCCACCAGTTTCTTGCCGGCCGCCCTGCTCGGACGGCTGTGCCCCCTGGGGACCGTGCGCGTCCCCCGCCCCAGCGGCCAGCCCCGTGATTAGTTCTTTGCTGTCTCTGGTGCCTTCAGCTCCAGGCTTCTGGAGCTGCCTCTCGGGGCTGCAGCACGGGTCTCCCGGGTTCCGAGGTTTAGGGGTGCTAGGCGAGGGTGTCTGTGCCCTGGGTTGGGGGTGAGGAGGATGCCAGGGGGGTTGCACGTGTGACTTTTGGGATGGTGCTTTCTACCCCTGCCCAGAGCTGTTTGCAACTTGGATGCTTGTTGCCCAGGCATCAGGCATGCACCAATTGGAGGGGGTGGAGAGGGGAACGCGGGGGCGGAGGGGGCTCCCCTTCCTCCTGGCCCTTTTTCTCTTTGTCTCCTCTGCCCTCTATCTCCTTCAGTGCCCACTGTCTTCCCTGAGGCTCCACACCAAGAACTGGAGAGGGTTGGAGGGACTTGGAAGATCATTCAAGCCCCCTTTTAGGAAGGATCTTGTCTCTCTTCTTAGGAAGAGATCCCACAGGGAGAACCTGTTTAATCTGCTCTCAGCTCTTGGTTTTGGGGGTGAATGTGAAGACTGAGGAGCTAGAGCCAGAGGCCACAGAAGGAACAGAGTCTTAATATCTATTAATATGGACATGATGGTTTCGAGTGGCAAACTCCAAGAGATTAGAGAGTGAGGTTGGTCCAGAATATAATCTCCTCGCAAAACCATAGCTGGATTTTGACGTAAACTGACTCCATCTCTGGCACCTGGACCTCTTCCTGTTTATACTTGTCAGATTTGGCTTTTGGCAGCTCCCCTCCTTGGACTGGGCGCATGATGTAGGCATTTGTGCTGAAAACAGGGAGACCCAGCTTTTAAGGGCAGTCGTTGCTGTTTCTGCAAATGTAAATAAACCGTCTGCAGACTTGCATGTTGGCACATGGTCCTGGAGGAAGAGAGTATTTCTCTCACTCACGGGCCACTGATTTCATTGCATGCCCCCAGCTAGAGAGAAGACGCTGGTGTTTTCTCCTGCCCCTTTGGCACAGATGTGTGCTGGTTTCACCGTGACCCTAATGAGGTTGGTCTCCATGAGGTCTAAGGCGTCTCTTCCCAGGGGTGGGCACCGTGCTGCTGCACACCCCACTCCCCCCATCCCATTTCTGATCAGCTCCAGTTCTCACGGTGACCACGGCTGGGTAAGGGGGTCACTGGGGACTTCACATGCATGTGGTTATTAATCCAGCCCACTTATCAACACCTCTGGCTTCCCTACCGCCTACTGTCCAGCTGGGTGGTGGGATGCCAGTGCCTGGGCCATTAGAATATTCATAGGACCACAGTGGGAAACCACACCACATTACACACTGGGGGAGGACTGTGGGCAGAGTCTCAGTACTTTTCTCCAGGGGGAAGTCCCCACTTCTTCCAAGGACTGTTCTGCTGGGTAAACTAGGTAGGAGCAGGAGCTCATTGGAGAGGTTTGGGTGAGGCCCTGAGCTACCCTCTGGGAGCCCAGGAGAAAGCAGAGTGATTTTCAGATGGGAGACTTACAGGCCCTAGAACTGGTCCTGCCTACTGCTTCCTGCCCCTCTGGTTTGCAGAGCGAATACCACCAGGGGGCCACTTTGAACCTCATCCAGGTGGCCACTGCTGAGCCCAGCCAGGGGGCATTGCTTTGAGCTTGGGACCCAGACACTGTCCTTGCCCTCAGTCTGGCCCGGGGAGAGCAGAGGCGACTGGACAGTCCACTGCAGGAAGTGTGGAAACCATATCACAGAGCTCCTCAAAGGATGAGGAAACCAGGGTCCAGAGCGGGAAGGTGGCTCGCCCAACAGGGCCAACTGATGGTCACGTGGGCCAGAATCTAGGTCTCCTGGGCTCTGTCAGCCCGACTTGCCTCCTAGTTGACCAAAGTCGGCTGAGAGGGAAGGTCAGCAGGACTGTGCAGATGAGCCGAGGGAAGGGGGAGGCATGCAGGGATGGAGGCCTGGGGGCCCAGACGACTGTGGAGACTGGGCACAGAGCATTAGCCTCCCAGGAGTCCTTCACCACCCCGCCCCCCCCAGACCCCTGGCCTCATGTCAAGCTCAGTCTCACAGACTGATCCTACAGATTTCTCCTAACCTCACAAGATGTCCTTCTCTGCAGTGGAGGAAGAGTTTCCCAGGCTGCATCGTTGCAGCTGGGGTTTCCGTGGGTGCCAGTCCCTTCCCGACTTGTAACTGGTAATATATCTGTCCTGCCCACCCCTTCCTTGTTCCCTCATTTGCTTAATTGCTGTGTTCTGTGTTTAATTATCACTTGTGAGGGCGCTATGTTGCACAACCCTCTTTCCCTTGGTATGTATTTATTAAGGGCTTGTTTAATGAGAACACAATTAAGGAGAGGGTGCTCAGACCCGCTCAGAGAAAAGGAAAGGGAAGGGGAGGTAAGGAGTTAACGCAGAAGAGGGCGGGAAAGGGGAAAACTGGTGGGGGCGTGAGGTGGGGTGGGGGAGAATGTACCAGGTTTGAATCTGGCCCTGGTGATTGTTTTTTTTCTGGAGATGCTGCCTTATGGGGTATCCCAAGACCCTTTGGCCTGTCCGCCCCCCACTGGGTTCTGTGTGAACCGTAGACCCCAGCACAGATTCTCAGACTTTGCCCTCTTGCTGAGTGTGGGGATCCCCGCATAAGCCTAGGTGAGCATTCCACATTCTGCAGCCCTGCAAGACGAAGGACAAGCACACCGTTTGGGCTTGTTGGCAAAGCTGGTTTTGTTGAGCACCAGTAGTCTCTGAGGGCCCTGCTTCTGTCTCCTTGAAGCTCCTGGGGGTGGGCAGGAAGTATGCAGGTTGCCTAGGGAGAGGGAGCTAAGATCTTTCCGTTGTCTCTGGGCCCAGGGGCCTTGGTTGGCCCAGCCCTGCCTCCCACAGCCCCCAGGGCCCGACCCCCAGGGGGGGGTCTTGTCCTGCTGCCTCGGCCCACTTTCTGCCTCTCAGCTCTAACTTGGAGCCTGTCTGACTCCCCTGGGGCCCCAGAGTATCAGCTTCCCTATTACAGTCAGCCTGTTTCCGCCTGCCATGCCAAGCAAGGCCTTGGAGCTAAACTTAGAGTCCAGGCCACCTTGCCCCTCTATCCTCCCTCCTCTTGGGCTGTGTGTGTGTGTGTGTGTGTGTGTCCCAGTGACAGATCCTTGGATGTGGGAAAAGATGGCAGACCATTTCCTGCCTTGGCATTTGCCTTGGAATATCTGCTGGGGGTCTGAAGACTATGGCTGGTGGGAGTATTTAATAAGATTTGCATGCACTGAGTACTTTTATTGCCTAATTTAGTGGAACTTTGGAGTCCTGAGTCAATCCTCCTACAAAGCCCAGTAGTACCCAGGTGAGGATGGGAGGGACCAAAGGCTTCAGAGAGGCACGAGCTTGCTGGTTAGGGCCTTTCAGTGAAAGGCAAAGCTTTGGCGCTCAGGGTGGAAAGCTACAGGATCATGGGGACTTGCCCATCGGTCCCACGATGTCAGAGAGAGGCCCCCAATCCCAGATCCACATGTGCACACACTGAAATTCTCAACAGCTGAAATTCTAAGCAGCATCTCTACTCTATGAGGTGGTACAGGGGGCGAGTACAAAACGTGTGAATGGCCCGGAGACAAGCTCAGCAGACACTGGTTACTAAGCGAGGGGTGCCCTGGTTACTTCCAGACCTGGGATGAAGGCCAGACCTACTCCCCTCCCTCCATCCGAACACCATCCTCCTCTACCAGCAGGGTGCCTCGGTCAGGGGGATAGACTCACTGAAACCCTTCCTGTGTTTTGTAAGCTTGTGTTTTGACTTTACCAAAGCTCAGAAGGTAGGAAAGACATCCGTCCTAGTTTGGGGGCCTGCGTGCTGGATGTGGCATCCCTGACTTTCTCAAGGTCAGCAGGCCAGCAGGCAGAGCAGGGCCTGCCTTGCACCTGCTGACCAACCCCCCCCCAACCCGCTCCTGGCCTGGCCATCCTACTGAAGCTCTTCTCTGGGGGTCTCCAGTGGATCAACACTCTGGCCTTGCTCCCTCTGTCCCCCTAGCACAGCTTCACACGGGAGAGAGCATGGGAGACAGGCCCCTGGGGCTTTCCTATGCAGGAGCCTCTCAGACATTGTGGGCAGGGCTTCCAGATTGCTGGGAGGATGTGTGGTGCAGAGGCCGGCCCTGCCCACCCTCTCTGATGCCTTCCCTTGGACAGGGCTCTGGACTTATCTGTGAAAGCCTCTGCCTTTCCTTTGTCCCCTCCCAGCTGTGGGGAGAATGGCAGTGTTTCACTGTGGCAGTCCTGAGGATCTTACTTAAGTCACACAGGCACACACTAATCAGGCAGAAATGTGCATTGTCATGAGCTAGACCTTAAAGAAATAGTCTGTCCTCTGTTCTGGACTGTTCTTTTGCTCTTTTTTTTTTTTTTTTTCTTCTACCTATTTAAAGCAGTTTGAAAGATTTTACTTTTGATGTGTATTTTTGGTACTCTTGGAGATCCTATTCTGGCTGGGGTTGGGGAGGTGATCTGACCCCTGACTCGAGTTCCCCCATCTTCCCCAGGATCCAGGTTCCTGGGCAAGGGGTTTCAGGGAGCACTGGAGGCTGGAGCTGTGGTTCTCCTTGGAGCTCGGGCCCCAAGGGAGGTCTGTGGTTATCAGGAAGTGTCTCCTGGGGGCTTTCCTGTCATAGCTCTGTATTCTCTTGCTTGGTTTGGAAGAACATTGGGGGTGGGAAGCAGAGCTGGGTTCTCCTACGTCATCTGGCCCGGAGGGCTGACTCTCCTGTCTGGCCTCTGTCCCCAGACCTCCTGGGGAGGTGTGCCGCAGAGCAGGAGCAGAGGTAGAAAGAAAGCCTTGCGCGTGCTAAGCAGCCGTAGCCTTGATAGTGTCAGTACCTCTTATTCCCCTCACTGGGGGTGTGGCCTTGAGTAAGTTCATGTCTCTGAGCCCGTTTCTTCATTCTGCATACTGAGGATAAAAATAATGACCACACAGGATTAGTATAAGGATTAAACGAGACAATGTATATAAAATGCCTGTCCTTTCTTAGAGGAAATGCCCAGTCCCCAATTCACCATTTACTCTGTGGCCCTGGGCCAGTTACTTAACCTCTCGGAGCCTCAATTTCATCTAATCTGTAAGATGAGAAAAAGTCTACCTACCTTTTGGTGTTCTAATAAAAGTTGGCGTTCCTATGTAGAAACCCTCTAGCACAGTGGTTCTCGAGGTATTGTCCCTGACCCCAGCATTCCCTGGCGTCATTTAGAAATGCAAGTTCTCAGGCATTAGATCTACTGAATCAGAAACTCCAGAGGGAGGGCCAAGCTCTTTGATGCCCTCCAGGTGATCTGAAGTTCCCTGAGGTTGGAAAAGCTACTGCTCTAGAACACTTCCTGGCACCTAAGAGCCCATCAAAGAAGGAGGGCTAACTTCTCAGCACTGATGGGAACCTTGGTGGGCAAGTCCCGATATATTAGGATGTAAGAAAGGATTTTTTTTTTTTTTGCTTTGGGGCTTTGGAATGCTAGAAATGTTTCTTGTTGACCTTAGGCAAGTCGCTTAACCTCTCTGTGCTTTGTTGTCTCCTCTGTAAGCGGGACCTATGCTAGTATGTCCCTCATAGGATGGGGTTGAGGATCAAATGGGCACATCAGCTATTATCGACAGTGGCAGGGGTCATGATGGGTCACTGGACCCCTGGGGGTTCTTTCTGGCCTTTGGAGGTAAGAGCACTCCCCTTTGCCTTCAGAAGCTAGGGTGATGCGAAGAAGGTGAGAGGAGCCCCAAGGGCAAGGAACAGGGCAGCCAGCTCTCCTCAAGCCTTCTCTGTCATTTAAAAAGCATTGCTTAGGGGAGCAAAGCAAGGGAAAGCTGGATAGGGTCCATGGGGGATCAAGGTAGACAAAGGACATCCTTCTTTGGGAGTGAGGACAGGTGAAAGAGCAAGGTTGTTGACCTTTAAAACAAAGATGACCCTGGCTGTCTTGGGAACAACACCAATTCTGGGGATGAACCTGGGACGACAGGTTTCAGGGGGCCCGGCTAGTACACCTGGTCACCACAACCGAGTGTCTTCCCATGCAGGGCCTTGTGGTCCCGTCTCTACAGCAGGCAGTCTGAGCCTGGGGCCTCAAAGAGTGGCGTTGTAGGACCGAAGTAGCTGAGAGAAGGTGCGGTCTGGGAGGAAACATTGGGCAAACTTTGGGACAGGAATTAGTCCAGCCTTATGGCTCGCCTCAATTGCCCACCAGCTCTTAGGTCAGACCTGGGCTCAGACTTCAAGAATCCCTAGAAGTTGTACAACTTTGGGCAAGACACTTTGCTCTTCTGAGCCTCACCTTTCCCATCTGTAAATGCAGGATTAGTGATACCTATCTTACTGGTATGGGGTGGGAAGGCAATGGAATTACCCGCTGGCAGCTGGTAGCAAGGTTCTGGGCCCAGAAAGGCGGGTCACTGGGAACCTGACTAGGACTCTCTGAGACCTCAGGTGCCCCTTTCACATCGTGGCGAGGACACCACCTAGGCATCTTATTCTGACGCCCCTCCCCTTGGGTCTCCTCCAGGACTCTGTAGAACAGGAGGGCCAGGGCTCCTTACAAGGACTTATGAGGGAGTGAGTCCCAAAGGCCAAGAGTGGAGACTGATGGTTTCCACTCGCCCCAGCGGCGGGTGTGTGTGTGGGGGCGGGCCCGGAGGGACCAGCGGTCCTGCACCCTCTCCAAGCCGCCCTGGCTCCAGCATCCCTGGAGTCGGGAATCGGCCTCCACCCGTGTCTCCCGCCCTCCCTCCCACTTTCTCTCCTGGGATCGCGTTCCGCGCGCTCGCTCGCCGCCACTCGGTGCGGCCCAGTCCCTTCCCCGCCTGGGCCGGCTCCCTCCTGTTTCCGGGGTCCCGGCCCGTGGTCCGAGGGTGTGGGACCCCGCCGGCCAAGTACGCTGGGGCGGGAGGTGGCCCTCTGCCTCTCCGCCTGTTGGCGCCGGTGAGCGTGTCCGGGGCTCGCGGATGAGAGGTGGCGGCACAGTGTCGCGGGCTGCGTTTGGCCATTTTCTCTTCTCCGCGTGGGACTAGGCTCCGGCACGCCCCCCCTCCCCTTCCCCTACCCCGGGCCCCGCCCCACCCCATCCGGGAAATGTAACCAGGGGCAGCGCACCGTCCTAGGCGAAACTCCCACGGCAAACAGGTGGAGCCCATCCCGCGCACGGGGTGGTGCGGGGATGGCACTTGCGGGGACTGCGCCCGCAGGGTAGGGGCGCGGCCTCGCGGCAAGGGCCTCGTTTTCCTAGGTTGGGGCGACCTCTGGTGGTCATTCCGGGTGCCACAGGGCAGCTCCCTGGCCCAGGCCGAGGGGGAGAGATGAATGAGGACCTTTCGCTCAGGCAGTGTTAACCGAGGTAAAGAGAACCATCCTCCGGAAGTTGATACACAGGGCGACAGCGACCTCCCTGCCTGGCCGGGCCACTCCTCCCTGCCCGAGTGTCCTCTTCCAGAGCTCCAGGCTGGAGATTCCAGTGGGGTTTTCTTAAGAGAGGTGGTGCCTGTCACACAGGTCTCTTCCTGCTCCCGGTGTCCTTGTCGCTGGAGGTGTCTGTGGGAAAGGCCACCACCATCTACGCTGTCAATGGCACAGAGATCCTGCTACCCTGCACCTTCTCCAGCTGCTTTGGCTTTCAAGACCTCCACTTCTGGTGGTCCTACAACATCAGTGATACCTACAGGATTGTAAGTAGTAGGGGAAGGGACAGGACATCTCAGACACTCCTCCCTTCCCTGTCACCTCACCCCTGCCTTCCTTTCCCCTGTTCTGGTCCCTTCTGGACTGACCTCACTGTGATGGTCCCCAGAACCCACCTATTGTCATCCTTTCTCCTAGCATTCTTTCCAGAGCCTGTCCAGAAGGATCTAAGTGGGAAGGATGCTTAGATGGTGTTGCCAGAATTTGGGTTTGTTGGAATTTTTGGCTAGAGTCCTTTGTCTGGTCTGAAGAAATGCCTGAAACTTGGATAGCTTGTGTAAAAATAATTCAATTTAAAAGACAGGAGAGAGAAAGATCTTTGGAAGGCTTGGAGAGAGGAAATGAGTCCAAATGTGAGAAGGGCTGGGGAACTGGACCCAGAAAGAACAGAGAGGCGTCTAGGGAAGGGAAAGGTCTTCTGAGGGTGCACCGGCGGGGCTGTGGGCTGGTGGTGGGGATGGACCAGCCCGCAGGTGTTTAGTGAGTACTCGCTGTGCAGTCTCGTAGGGGACCTGAAGTGTACATAAGGAGGCCACAAGAGACCAACTCTGAATGTAATGAAACATTGGGCTCAGGGCCGCTGATGGACAGTGCTGTAGGATTGACCCAAATTTTGATGGAGGGCCAGAATTCAGATGGACAGGGTACAAGTTGTCAGCAAAAGCTGTGGACGGTGGTGGTGACAGAGGGAAATGAGAGTGGTAATTGCCAGAGCCATTACGTAAAAGGCTTTTATGAAGAAAGAGATAAAAGCTGTGCTACGTTCCAGGGAGATCTTAATGACAGAAAATGGGTTTAGCTTGAAGCAAGTGAAATTCAGGTTAGACAGGCAGCGCTATCGGTATTGGAAGGAAACCAAGTGGGGGGAGCACCTCTGGCTGTAGGATCTCTCAAGACCTGGACAATGAGGCAACCGAGGAGTGGGCTGGAGTGATGCCATGACTCTTGAGGACCATGATTCTTTCTGAGCCCCCTCTTCCCCACCCTCTTCCTCCCCTAGCTCATAGACGGGACGGTAAAGAACGAGAAGTCCGACCCCAAGGTGAAGTTCAAAAATGACGATCGCATCACTCTGGAGGGTTCCACTAAGGAGAAGATGAACAACATTTCCATTCTGCTGAGGAACCTGGAATTCAGCGACACAGGCAAATACACCTGTCATGTGCAGAACCCCAAGGAGAATAATTTTCAGCACCAGGCCACCATCTTCCTCCAAGTCGTTGATAAACGTAAGCAGTGGGGGCTGGGATGAGGGCAGTGGGATGGGAAGCATGGCAGGGTACCCCACTCAGTGGGGTCAAAGGGCATTTCAGTCAAATGGCAAAATGGACCATGTTGGTGTTTTCTTTTGCTTTACGCTTTTGAAAGTTACTGGAGTCACTTTTGGAAGCTCAGATAACCTAGCTCTAATACCCAGTCTGCCCCTGAATAGCTTATGATACACACTTCGCCCCTCAGAGCCTGGTTTTCCTCACCTGCAAATTATGCCCCATCCTAGGATGCTAGTGAGAAGCAGGGATGGGACATAGGATGCTTTGTGGTGAGAAAGTTCTCTGTGTGAGCTGATGATTACCGCTCTTGTGTATGCCCCTAGCAACTGTTAATCGAATGCCAGGCATCAGAACAAAAGGGACATGAATGATCCCCAGTGTTCTTCCTTGAGGAAGGACTGTAGTCCAGGGTAAGACAGAAAATGGGTCAAGAGAGGACAGACAGAGGGACAGAGCACGTAGAGCCACAGGCAACTGAGACTGAGTCACTGCTCCCCTCTGGAGGCGGAACCACAGCTGAGGACCGCAGTCTGCCACAGGTGGGACAGGGGGACAGGGAAGAAGCCTGTGAGGAGCAGCCAGCTGGTCACATGAGTGCCGACACTAGAGGTGGTTAGAGAAGGGGCTGGTGGGGTTATGCTGGGCTTCATGGATGGGGAGCCTGGAAGGTGAAGGGGGCACAGAAGTAGAGAAAAAGGGAAGAAACCTGTTTGTGCTGCATTTCTTGGATGCGTGGGGACTCACTGCTCTCCTGGATGAAGTGAGGTGCTTGGAGAGAGAGAGATGCCCATGGGTTCACTGTTGGCTGTGCCAAGGGCAAAGCCAGAGGCCTTTCAGGCAGCTCTCTCTGAGCCTAGAGCCGTTGGAGTTAAGGCTGTGTATGGCATCATCTCATCCTTTTATTGGTCTGGATGTTGTCCTGCTTGTGCTCAGCCTTTGCGGGAGGGAAGAGGAGGGGAAGGGAACCAACATTTATAAAGGATAAATTTATGGAGGATCTTGAACACTGAGTTAGGTGCTGTCCATTACCTTTGCACCTTTGTCCCTCTCATGTCCCTTTGAAGGGATCTTTTCTTCCTTTTTATAGATTCCTTCATTCATCTAGTCAACAAATATCTGTTGGGAAACTACTTATGTGGCACCTACTGTGGCATGAACAAGGTAGAGAAGTTTCTGCCCTTACGGAATTTCCATCTAGTCGGGGGAGATATGTAGTAAACAAAATAAAGAAGAAAATGGTGTTGTATGAGAGAGCATGGCTGGTGTTGCAGGGAAAAAGCAAAATGGGGAGGGAGAGATGGGGTGCTAGCAATGTCACCAGGGAAGGCCTCACGGAAAAGGTAACACAGCATAAGGACCTTTGAGGGAGCAATGAGGATGTCTTTGGGAAGATAGTCCAGGCAGAGGGAATATCAAGTGCAAAGGCCCTGAGGCCTATACTTGAACATCAATGAGGCCAATGTGGCTGGAGCAGGGCAAATAGCAAGAAATGAGTCAAGTTAAGCCATGTTATGTGAGGCCTTGTAAGTCTGCATGAGATGGGAGCCATTGAAGAGCTCTGAGCAGATGAGTTAACCTAGAACAAGCTCTCTATGGGGCCAAGAATAGACAATGAAGTAAGGAGTCCTATTAGGAGGCCCCTACAAATGTCTAGGCCGGGATGTCTTGAGCCAGTGTGGTATTGAGAGATCAGATTCTGGATTTTTTTTTTTTTAAGATTTTATTTATTTATTTAACAGAGAAAGACAAAATGAGAGAGGGAACACAAGCAGGGGGAGTGGGAGAGGGAGAAACAGGCTTCTTGCAGAGCAGGGAACCCAATGCGGGGCTCAATTCCAGAACCCTGGAATCATGACCTGAGCTGAAGGCAGATGCTTAACGACTGAGCATCCCAGGCGCTCCTGGATTCTGGAATTTTTAAGTTAAGTCTGTTAGGATTCTCAGGGGGATTGAATGTGGGTTTCAGAGAAGGGAGGGGTCAAGGATGGCTCCAAGGATTTTGGTCAGAACAATAGGAAGGATGGAGTTTTCTCAATGGAGGTGAGGAGACAGAGAGTGGAGCAGGTTCCAGAGGTCACGAGTTCAGTTTTCAGATGAGGAAACTGAGGGAGAGGGCTTACGTGTCCAGCTCAGAGTTACCAGCCTGTTAGTGACTGCTGAGACCCTGAAGTTAAAATCCAGACGCCCTGACCCCAATGTCTTCCAGCCACATAAAAGTTGTTACAGGGAGATTCTTGATTTTTCCTGTGTGGACAAGGGAGGTCCAGAAAGAGACAATGACAGGTTTAATGTGGCAGTTTGGGGGCCAAGTCAAACCACGGTGGGCCCTGAGTGTGAATTATTCCAGAACCGTGTGTGTGTCCATGGGAGGGTATGTATGTGGAGGGGTTGTGTTGTGCCTTAGCCAGGTGGATGCCATGTTCCAGCTTCTGTTTCCTGTGGGGGTGGGCACATCCCAGATGCCAGGGTTGGAGGGGTGTAGCCATCGGGCTGCCATCGTGCTGGGCTCCAGGTGACTCCTGCTCTCCTCACCTGCCCCCTTCTCTCCCTATTCTGGCCATACAGTGGAAGAAGTGGACAACACAGTGACCCTCATCATCCTGGGCGTCGTGGGTGGGGTCATCGGGCTCCTCATCCTCATCCTGCTGGTCAAGAAGTTCATTGCCTTCATCATCAAGAAGACTCAGGAGAAGAAGTGAGTTGACTCCATTGCACACTCCTGTCCTCCCACTGGCCCACCACCCACTCCTGTCTTGTGTTGTGGGTGTTCCCAGCATCATCTCATTCCACCGTCATCTGCCCCCATCCGCCTTCATCCTTCCATCTGTCCCCTCGTCACGTCCTCTCTTCCCACTCCTACTACTCTTTCCTGTCTCCCAGCCCCTTTTCCTGTCCCTCCTAATACATATTTATTGAGCACAATGGGTTCCCTGAGTACATGAACTTACTCTTCCTTATCCTGCTTCCTCATGCATCCCATTAAACGTCTCTCTTTCCATTTGTACCTCCCCAACCTAAGTCCTACCAAAGGATTTAGATGCCTTGTTTTTTTTTCCATCAGAGAAAAGCCAAAATTCCATATAGAGAAACTCTAAAATGGGAAGACCCTTCTAGAGAGATCGGAGTCTTTCTGTGAGACTCTGGAAGTTCACATGGGGGAGACTAAAAAAAAAACCCACAAAGTCTGATAGGGCCTCCCCAGAAGCCTCAGGGTGAGCTCAGGTTTGAGATAAACATCTTAAGGAGAAGGGGAGGGAAAACGGGGAGGTAGAGAGGGTATGAGCTCCAGGTCCAGAATTGCCAGAACTATGTCAGGCTCCAGAGAAGCAGGAGTGAATGTAAAAAGGCATTTGGAAATTGTATTTTTTTAAAAGATTTTATTTATTTACTAGGGAGAGAGAGAGAGAAATAGAGTGAGAGAAGGAGAGAGAACACAAGCATGAATGGGGGGAAGGGGCAGAGAGAGGGAGAAGCAGACTCTCCACTGAGCAGGGAACCCCGTGTGGGGCTCCATCCCAGGATCCCGAGATCATGACCTGAGCCAAAGGCAGGTGCTTAACTGACTGAGCCACTCAGGTGCCCCTGGAAGTTGTATTCTCAGCAAGAAAGATGAGAGGAGACATTGGAGCAGAGAGGGGGGTAGCAGCAAGGAGATGCAAAGGGGAAGGGAGAGCTGCTCTCTTTCTGTTCCTGTTCATTCTGCTTTGTTGAGAAGAGGGAATTAGGCTGGAAAGGGCAGAAGTTGTGCTGGTAATAAGGGAGGGAAGCCGAAGTCAGGAAGGCACCAGGGGGTGGGGAACGGGAGGCACTGACTGAGATAGATGAAGAATTCTTGGATTGTCTCCTTGCGTCGTGGCCAGAGTTTTGGAGATTTTGAAAGAGAGGCCAGGGGCATGGAGTTAGACCAAATTCTCTTTTTGGTTTTGCTACTGATAGTTAGCAAAACTGGAGAACAGATTATTCAACTCGTGGTTTAAAAGCACCTAAAAAAGAAAATGGCGATCCTTGGGAGCTGCCATGGGCTCATCAAGAACAAGGCAGGCCAGACATTTTCTTGCCAGGGTGCTGGTGGATCAGGAGATGGCTACGGGTGGTAATACTTCTTGTTATTCACTGAACACCCACCGTGTGTTAGGTACTGTGTTAGGTATTTATGTGATAGCCACAATTTTTATATTTTACAATTGAGCGTGGTGGGGCTCAGAGTGGTGATGTAGCTTGCCCAAGGCCACACAGCTGGAAAGTGATGGACCTGAGATTTGCATCCTGGCTTGTTTGGCTTCAAAGCTTTAACCACGGTCACTGTATCCTACTGATTCGGGGCGTATATCCAGAGTTCATTCATTTCTTCTTTCATGTGATGGCTGTTTCTGAGGTAGTGTGTACAAGGCACTGTGCCAGGTGCTGTAGGAAATTCTGGAAGGAATGAGATTCTGTATGCAAATCAATGTGAGACAAGGTAGAGAGGATGGGTGCCAGCAAAGACGTGTGATAGAATGATCCAGGGGTTCCAAAGAGGGTGGAATACTAGGGAAGGGTTTTTGGTTGAAGGACGTTTGTGGCAGGCCTTGCAAGACGATCTAATGTAAGCCCTGGGGAGGGCGAGGAGAAGGTCGTTCCTGAACTGCTGAGAGCAGAGGCAGGGTCTAGGAAGAGACATGGGTCTGGAGAACAAGGCGATTTGTCAGTCAAGAGACTAGGGGGATTGGTAGGGGGAAGGAGAGAACAAGCCTGCACAGGGCATTGCCAGGAGACCCCTGGGGACCGGGGAGTCTGGGTTGAGACTGGCTTTTTTCTTGGGTTCATGGGGGCTGGTGAAAACTTTCAGGGCCTGGCATGATCAGAAGGCTTTGGAAGAAAGGGTCTGGCCTTGGTGAGTACAGGGACTGGGCAGGGGAAGGCTGGAAGTGGGAGACAGACCACAGGGAAACCTGAGAGGGGTCCTCTGAGTGCGAGGAAAGCCTGCATGAACAGCAGAGATGGGGTGGCTTCCCCAGAAGAAGGGAGGTGTTGGACAGCATCTCAGGGTTTCCACTCGTGAGGCAGGTCCCCCTCTCTCCTTTCCTGCTCATCTTTGTCGGTCTCAAATTCTGTGACCTGTCCAAAGAGCCCTCCCTGACCCCTCGGAGGAGGCTTCCTATGTGGATCCCTCCTTGGTAAACCCTTCCTCCTATCACTTATCACATCGTACTGTGGTTACTCATTGAATGTCATGTTCTCTGGAAGACTGTGAGTTTTCTGAGAGCAGGCAGCCTCCTAGTCTGACAACGTGCTTGGTACCCAGCAGATTCTCAGAAAAGCAATATGGAGTGCTTGGGAGTACAATGATGCGGACGGGAATTGTCTGGGTTGACTACCTTAAGTATAGAGATATGTAGGTAGATAGATCGATCGATCGATCGATTTGCATAGAGGTCTTTACTGGTATGCCACAGGTCTCTGCTCATTCATTGTTATTAAGATTTGAATTACACCAGGAATGATGTCAAGTTTTCAGGGACTTAGTGACTATGTTGGAGAACAAAACTGGGGTCTAGGAGGAGCTTGAAAGGCCGGAGCTACGGACTAAATTTTGCAGAACAAAACGGATGAGGACAAAATAGTTAAGTCCTTCCTGAAGGCCTCGAAGCCGGCTACACAAGTCCGGGGTGAGGCTGAGATAGTTCAGCCACAGCAGCCGTGAAACAGGCTTGGAAGTTTTCCGGAGAAGCAAACTCACACTGATGTAGCCGTCAGGTTCCCCGGAGCGCTCTGCACAGCTCGGGTGCTGCGGGTGAGGGTAGGGTGCGACATGCTCACTCTGGAGCGTGTCCAGCTGCCAGCAGGAGGTGGGGATGTCTTCCCAAGTAACCATCTCCCCTTCCTGCTGCCATCTCCCATCCTACCACACTCTGCCCACCCCCGTTTTCCCTGTTGCCCAGACCTCTGCCTGCACCGCCGCTTGTGTGAGCTTTCTTCTCCCTCTGGTCACAGCCAGCTCAGAGAGGAAGGGGGTCTGCGGAAGGAGCTCTTTGACCTTGCCATACTGCCTGCAGGCCTGCACCCTTCATGCTGGGTTGACACAGCCTGGGAATTAACCTGGTTTGGCTTCCCCTGTGCACTGATCAGCGCCTGGTGCCCCTGCCTTTCACCAGGCTGGGATGACTCAGTGATAGTGGGCCTTATGGGTCCTCTCTGCATGCCAGGCCCTGTTCTAGGTGCTTAGTGATGCCTCACAGCTTCCCCATGAAGAAGGTCATCATCATATCCATTTTATAGATGAGAAAACTGAGGCCCAGAGGGGTTCGGTGACTTGACCTCTTGCCACCTTTGCCTGAAAGAGGACCATGGGGTTGGCAAGGGGCTGGTCGCAGGGCCCAGGCTTCTGTCCATAGCCAAGCCCTTCCTCTGGCCCCTCTCCTCACCTGCTCACCAGCTCCCTCTCCTCCTTTCTCCCTCTCCAGGAAGGAGTGCCTCGTGAGTTCCTCAGGGAATGATAACACAGAGAATGGGCTGCCCGGCTCTAAGGCGGAAGAGAAACCACCAACCAAAGTGTGAGCCCCCGCTGGGGGCCAAGCGGCAGCCCGGGCCTCACTTGCTGATGACAAACTGATGCTTGAGCCATGTCCGTGAACCCACGTGCCTGAGACACCTGCTGCTTGGCTCCAACTGTAGTCTTCCTGGGGAGAAACTGGGGTCCTGCCCAGCCTGCCTGCTCCCTCCCAGCCAGGGCTCCCCAGGGATGAGGGCTGGCCAGGGGAGGGGGCTTGTGGAAAGTTCAGGAAAGGAAAGGAGGGCTGGGTGGTGTGGAGGGAGGTTCCCCTGACACCTGGGGTACATGGGGTCTTCTTTAGTCTCCTCACCCTGTATGAGCAATACCTTGGTTTTCCTCCAGATTTCTCTTTAAGAGAGGCTTGGGGGGATCATGAGGCCTGCCCTAACAGATGGACCCCCATGAATAATAGTGTGGAGATCTAACCCTTTTGGTGGTGGATGTGGCCTAGAAGATTCTGTACAGGATCTGGGGTGGGAGCCTACTGGAGGGGTGCTGATAGTGAGAGGCTCTGATGGATACTGACCCCCCAGTTCCCTCTAGTAAGGCGCTTCCCTCCCTCCCACACAGGGTGTCTGGCAGCCCCCGATTCATCACCACTCCCCAGACCCCCGTTCCCCCCACTGCTGCTTGGAGTCTGTGAACCCTCCCAACTAGGGCTGGCCACCCTGGTCTTGGGGTCCTGGCCCCCCTAGCCTGCTCCTCTGATCTCTGAGTTTCTAAGGGGCTCCTGAGGGGGAGCCTCCCGCCTTCCTGGAGCACTGGGGTGCTGCCTACGCCTTTCCTAGCATTTCTCCTTGGGGAAGCAGGACTGCAGAGATGGGAGAGCCTATGTCCGGGACCTCTTGGCCCCTGGGATGCCTACCCCAGCCCCACCCATCCTGGCTGCCCCTTCTTGGCATGGCCGGCCCATTGCTGCCCCTGGGAACTCCTGAGCTTGCCTCCCCACCGCTCCTCTTTCCCTGAGGCAGCAGGTGGTGTCATCTTGCTTGAGGTGTTGTTCCCTCAAATCCTCCCCTCCTGTGGGTTCACGCCCACACCTCCCTTGCCCTTCCCTATCCATCATACCTTCTCCCCTGGCCCAGGGTTGTTCACCTTCACCCTGGGGTCAAGGGCTTGCTTTCACCTCAGGGATCCTCTTGCTTCAGAAGAGGGGGCCCCTTGGGTTTTTTGGTTGCTTCCTGTTCAGCTCTGTCATCCCCTCCCCACCTCCCCCGGGGTTGGGGAGGAGCAGGGAGAGGGGGCTCAGTCTTCCTTTGCTTTCCTGAGAACTGGTTTGCACACCCCTGTATGGGGGGCTGGACTGTGCCTTAGCTTGTCATGTCCAGGCTCATCCCCTCCATCCCCTCTCCAGCCTGTGCATGACAGCCAGCCCTGGGGTGACACTATGAGGGGTTTCCCAACCTGCCTCCACCCAAGGTCATGCTGGGGACCAGGGAGCTGGGGTGGTGCCACCCATGGCCCCCTGGACAGTGATGGAATCTTGGAGCTGTTGGGAGACAGTGGTGGTGTCCCCACGGGGTGGGAGGGATTAAGTGAGTGCTGCAGTATTAGAGGAGGACTCTGCCATCTGCTTCTGCTCACTTCCTCTCTGATACTCTGTCCTTTGGGCCTGGGAGGGATGGGAGGGCAGTAGCCTCCCTTTCCAGAGATTTTTTTTTTTTTCTTTCCTTCCTCTTTTCCAAAGAAGTTATGGGGACTGCCTCAGGTTCTCCCTGTTAAAAAGCAGCTGCAGGCTTCCCCTAGGATGGGGGTAGGGGAGACTGAGGAGCAGCAGCTCTGGCAGGTGCCTGGCTGTGGCCTGTGGCCCTCACCCCACCTGATGGGTTCACAGGGTCCCACTCTGATCTGCCTGCTGGACTCCCATCCTTGTCCCCCAAGAACCTGAGGCTCAGGCTCAGATTGTCCTGGTTGAGAAGCAGACAGACAAGAGCTACCAGCCATTTGGAAAACTTCTTGTGTCTACCTTCATGAAAGCTGCTTTCTTTCCCCCTCCCAGTTTCAACATTTGAATGAGCTGAATCAGCTGGGCTCTCCTTACTGGCTCTGGAGGAGGCCAGGTATATAGAGCAGGGGGGCCGTGGGGGAAGAGCATCATCCTTTCCACTCCTGGGTCTACTGTTGACTGATAGGTGGGTCATGCATCTTCTCTGGGCTCAGCTTTTCCCATCTATAAAGTGGGAGTAATCATATGTACCTACCTCCCGGGTTGTGGGGCTTGGTGAGTTTTTGTTTTAAAACAAACAAACAAACAAACAAACAAACAACTTTTTGGCTTGGAAGGGGATCTAGGAGGCCAGGCATTATAACTGGAGGAATTGTTCCAAGTCTGTCCTGTCCTCACCTCTGTGTCCCATCCCTAGGAGACACATGCACACACACTCACACACATGCACACTCGCACGCATGCACGTTCTCTCTCACTCTTGCGCGCGCTCTCTCTCTTCCCACTCCTCCCCCTTGGAATTATTTTAGTCTTTATAATATTAGAAACCTTGGCTCTGATGCTTAAAGCTTCTTATCCACAGCTCTTGTTTGGGAGTTTCCAATAGAGGTGAGATGATAGGGACTCTGGGGGACATTTTGGGTAGTCCCAGTGCCTGGGGGCACTATGGACATTTAGTGAGTGCTCAGGAATGCTCAGTTTCATCCTCACAACAGAGAATTGTTGTGCTCTAGTGCTGGGGTGTAACCCGGAGGAACATGGGCATGGATTTGCAGTAGAATATCTGTGGGCAAAGCCATCTTCTCAGAAAGAGCCTCGGTGCATGCAGAACTGCAGGGGCTGGTGAAGGTGTTTCCAGGGCTTGTGGGCCAGAGAGAACCATTTACAGAACTGATCTTGGGAGTCCTGCAGGCACGCAGCTGTGCTGACAGTCAAGTCAGTGAGACCAAAGATAGAGTTTTCCGAGCTCCCCATCTTTGACCTCAAAACGGGACCTCAGCTTTCCAGGCCTTGGGTTTCTCCCTGGGTAGGAATTGAACAAAAGCTCATCAGAATGAATCTGTAAGGCTAGAGTGGTCTGGGAGAGGGGTCAATGGACTTCAGACGTTACCCACCTGGCTGGCTGACCAGAGCAGGAGGTGAAGCGAGGGGTGTGACAGCGTGTCCCAGAGATGGTGGCAGGTGATGGTGTGTGTGGAGATGCATGCCTGTGGCCTGGGGGGCTAGATGGGGGAGACTCGACACCTTTGGGGAGCCATCTTCCCTGGCCTGAGCTACACCTGTTGGGACACCAGGAACCTGAGAAAAGATAAGAGATTGTGGGGAAGACCAGCCATGCTCTTTGGTTCCATAACTCCGTGATTCCATGACTCCCTCACACTGTTAGGGACAGCTGCCAGGAGCGCTAGGGGAGGGAGGGCAAGGAGGGGAACTTCTCGGAAAAAAACCCTATAGCTTGCTTCACCTCACTTCGTCCCAGGTTGGAGTCCCTCCCCTCCCACCTCCCACCTGATATTCAGAGCTTTTGACTATCTTATGCATGGTTTATTCCTCTGGCTTGGATGACAATACCCATAGTCACTTTTTAAAAATATAAATATAGATCAAAACAGTGCAGCAGTGGGTCTGAGGCCTCTGGTCCATGGGTGCCTCTGGGAGGCACAGATATGCACACACCCAGCAATGACTTATGTTCAAGCACAGAACAGATGTGATCAACTATCCTGCCTTTATAACACGTTTGGCATTGTAGAATTTTATTTAGCTTTGCCTTGAATGAAATAAAAATTATGTTTAATAGAAATGGCTTGGGGTTTCCATCTTTGACTTATTGAGAGTTGGGTTCTTGTTTTATTGCTTGCCAGCTGTAACTGGGACAAGTTCCTTTACTTCCCTGAGCCCCAGTCTCCATGTCTAAAATATTACCGGCCTAGGTAGGATCACACATGGAAAATGTCGAAGAATGTGTGGCCTCTTCCCAGGCATTCAAGTTATATTAGTGCTGATTCCTTCTCTGGAGAAGCTGGAAAGCCAATCTTTTAATACTGGCGTCCTTGGCAGGCCTCCCTGGACTGCTGACCTTGGTAATGATCCCAGTACCACTAAATGCCATGGCATCCCCTTCCCTGGGCCCCCTGCCCCAGGATAACATCTGGAAACAGCTGAAATTGGCTTCAAATGAACAAGGACAACCTTGGAGAGGAAGAGCACTGGACAAATACTGCCTGGTGACGTGAGCACCCTGGGCTTTGCTTGGCTGGTACCTCCAGCTGGCTGTTCTAGGGCACAGGCTATATGGTGGTAGGGGAGGAAAGGAGTTTTGGCTTATTATACCTCAGGAACGACCCTACCCATGCCCATTTCATATCATCGATCTCAAATGAGCATGGATTACTCAGGCACTCCTGCCTTCAGAAGAGTTTCTGGAACTGGGGATATGTATGAACGTCTTCAGGCCAGCAAGAGTGGAGTCTACTATGCCTGTCTATTTCCTCTCACACCTGAAATCGTTTGATCAGCAAATCTCATCAGTTCTATGTTCCAAACAGGTCCTGAACGCAGTCACCTGTGAGGCCGTCATCGGTACGATCTGGAAGCCGGCCCATGCGCTCTCACCCGGATTCTCTCAGTACCTTCCCTCCCTGCTCTGCCTACTTCTGCCCAAGCCCGTCCTCAGTCTGGTCTCTTGAGTGGTCCCTTCAAAACAAAACGAGATGATGTCATCTGTGCTTCCAGACAAGACAGAGACTTGGGGACCGTGTACCTCTGAACCTCAAACACCTATGGAAGTGGAGAGACTAGACGATACTGTGGCTTTCAGATATAGGACCCCAGGGATGGGAGGACGGTGATTCCTGAAAGAGACAGACAAGTGAGGTGGCCCTCCTTGGTAGGCCGAATGCACAGCCTGAAGAGGATTTCCAGGCCGCGGTGCAGGGAGGGGACCTGGCTATGGCCGGCGACTCTCAGAGTTGATGAGAAACTGGAAGGTGAAGGCAATTAGCATTGCCAGGGCCTGACACCGGCCCAGGGTCCTCGCGAGTCTTCAGAGGACTCCGATAGTGCGTGTGGGAGGAGACCACGTGACGCCGGAAGCGCCACCGGAAGAGCATGGCGGGCGGGGGGGGGGCGGGAATCCGAGGGCTGACAGGGCAGTCTTTCGTCTAGGGCTGATCTCGCTGCCCTCCTGAGGCAGCCCCCTTTGAACACCCTGCCCGTGGGAACGAATGAGACAAAGTTGGTGGCGGTGTTCCTACTCCGGGCCTGGCGTGAGCGCCGGGGACTGGTCTGGCCACCCCTCTCTGGCGGCTCTTCTTCAGCTTCGGGTAGTTTCCTCACGCGCGTGTCTCTGGGAGCAGGCAAGAAGCTGCGGAGTTCCCTCTGCGGGTCCCCCGAATTCTCCCTGTGAAGCTCGCTGTGCCCCGGGACTTGGAAGGTGAGCCCTCCCGGCCTTGTGGCCCCGTCTCTGGTGTTGCCAGCCCTTCTGTCCCGTCCTGTCACAGATGTGGGGCGCGGGGCATGTTTGTCTGCCCTCAGATCACTTCCCCGGGCTGCCTCGCGTCCTGGGTCCGAGAGCCCTTCTGTCCCCAGTTTTTGAGTTGTTTCAGATGGGAGAGTGAATTTACTCTCCATCTTCTGTGGGGAGAGATTGATGACACTTCCGGGCGCATAGAAACCTGGACACACGTGTTTGTAGAAGCTTCGTTTGTCACTGCGGAAAAAGGAAACACCCTGCTTGTCCTTGAGCTGGTGAATGGCTGCACCGTCCGTCCTGTGGCTTACCTCTCGGTAGTAAAAAGCTCTGTGTGCCCGTGTGGATGCATGATGCTGAGTGAAAGAAGGCAGACTGGAGAAAGTACCTACTGTATTGTCCCACTTCGGTGCTGTCCTGGGAAAGGCAGCGCTATAGGGACGGAAAACAGATGAGTGGTTGATGGGGGCTGGAGGAGGGCATGGGGAAGGCTCTAAAGGGCAAGAGAGGCTTTTGGAGGGTGATGGAGCTGTGGTTGCTTGCTTGTCCATGGTTGTCAAAATTGGTAGAACTCTACACTAAAGATGATGAATTTTATTGTACGTAAAGGATGTCTTAAAAAATTACAAAAAACTAGATGGTACTCTTTTTGGTCAGAACCTTCCAGTTTGTCTTACTTATTCCTCATAATAGCCCAGAAGACCCTATTATTCTGCTCCCGTTGCCCCCCCCCCCTTTTTTTTCCCCCTCAAGATTTTACTTATTTATTTGAAAGACTGAGCAGGGCAGGTTGGGGAGGGAGAGGGAGAAACAGACTCCCTGCTGAGTGGGGAGCCCAATGTGGGGCTGGATCCCAGGACCCTGGGATAATGACCTGAGTGGAAGGCAGATGCTTAACCGACTGCGCCACCCAGGCACTTCCCTGTTGCCCCTTTGATATCTTCTTTTTTCTGCTGACTCATAGTCTGGTTGTTCTCCTTGCTGAGGCTCAAAACAATCAGGGGCGTCTGGGTGGCAGGGGTGCCTGGGTGGCTCAGTGGGTTAAGCCTCTGCCTTTGGCTCATGTCATGATCTAATGGTCTTGGGATCAAGCCCTGCATCAGGCTCTTTGCTCAGCAGGGAGCCTGCTTCTCCACCTCTCTCTCTGCCTGCCTCTCTGCCTCCTTGTGATCTCTTTCTCTGTCAAATAAATAAATAAAATCTTAAAAAAAAAAAAAAACAACAGTCAGCCTCCTTTGGTCTCAGGACCTTTG